CCTGCATGGCAGGGGGTTGGACTAGATAACTCTCGTGGTCCCTTCTATCTCTACAGTTCTCTGACATGGCTATTGTGTGGCGTCCATTGAAAGTTGAATTGCAGGATTAAACCAATCTTTAGTCCAATCAGCAGCATACCTAGTTTTCTTTCCATGTTTAAGCTTAAATCATCTGCAAATATTTTAAATAAATAAAATAATTATCATTTCACATGTGCTGGAATATCCTTGATAGCTTAGGATGGGCAGGGAAGTGATTGTAGCACCATGGACTCACATTTCTATAAGCCTTGTGATTTAGGTTCTCATCCTTAAATCCCTTCTTGGTTGGGTCATGATCTCACGACCTATCGTGTCTCTTGGATTGTTGATGATAAAATAAGATAAGAACACAGGAAAGATTTATCTGAGCTATTGCCATGCAATGTGTGGGGAAAGGGAGAGGGGTCTAACTTGATAAAATTAATGAGTGGATGAAGATAACTCATCTAATTATCTGTATAGTGTAGTAACAATTTCATCCACTTCGTGATCCTTGAGCCGTATCATTAAATGTTCATTAAACCGTATCTCACCTTAAACTGGCTTTATTTGCCCCCAGTGTTAATTCACATGCTCAGGTCGGATTGGCCCACCCATGCCATGATGCCATGTTTGTCCTTATAAGATACCCAAATGGCTGGAATCACCCATGTGACAAAACCAATGAAGGAGACGGAGAAGTGATTAGCTTTAATAAGTGGTGCCACAAAAGGAGACCTTGGATCTTCCTGAACATCCTGTCAAGGAACATGGCAACTCAGTCACAATTTAAATAACTCCTCTCCACCACACACACACACACAAAAAGTGGTTAATGATACAATTGGCCTTTGCAGGCTGCACTGTCAAAGCAGTGATGTTTCACAGCAAATACATCATTTTAAGGAAGTTTTTGCCTTAAAGGTTGCTGGGTTCGGGCAATGCATTATAATTCGTACATCTTTTAAAAGGTCACTTTGCCCGGTTCTCTCTCAGTAGCATGGACTTCTTGCCCCCTTTACCAGAAATGCGTGGGAACTGCACGAACAACAGATTTGATCAAAGGAGAGCAGAAGTTCAGTTAGCATGCAAAATCGGGCAACAATAAACAAAGGAGAAATGGCTCACTCTGAAGACTTTATTCCTTTCCCCTGCGTTTACCAGAGAGCCAAAACCTACAAAGAGCAACACAGGGCACAGCTGTAGGTGCAAGTTGTTGTGGCTATTAATAGCATTTATTACAGCAGATTGCACAAAGCTTTGCTGCTGCTTGTTGCTGGGATTGTAGGGAAGGTAGTAACTATTCCGGGGGGGGGGGGGAGGCTGAGGTTGGGGGGGAATGTGGTTACATGGGATTATTATTATTATTATTATTATTATTATTATTATGCCCCACCCATCTGGCTGGGTTTCCCCAGTCACTCTGGGTGGCTTACAGCACATTAACAAAATGTAAAATATTAGACATTAAAACTTCCCTGATACAGGGTTGCCTTCAGGTGCCTTCTAATAGTCTGATAGTTGTTTATTTCCTTCACATCTGAAGGGAGGGCGTTCCACAGGGCGTGCGCCACCACTGAGAAGGCCCTCTGCCTGGTTCCCTGTAACTTCACTTCTCACAGTAAGGCAACTGCCAGAAGGCCCTTGGAGCTGGACCTCAGTGTCCTGGCTGGACGATGTGGGTGGAGACGCTCCTGCAGGTATACTGGGCTGAGGCTGCTTAGGGCTTTCAAGGTCAGCACCAACACTTTGAATTGTGCTTGGAAACATACCGCCCTTTACCCTTTACCCATGGATCATGGGGCAGTTCGCAACAATCACAATGTAAAAAACACAAAATACGTAACAAAAACAAAGACAACCAAATAATACCCCCTTGCACAACACATTTTAAAAAGTCATTGTATGTCAATCAGCCCAAGGCCTGGTTAAAGAGGAACATTTTTGCCTGGTGCCTAAAGGTACATAATGAAGACAGCAGGCAAGTCTCCCTGGGGAGAGCATTCCACAAATGGGGAGCCACCACAGAAAAGGCTCATTTTCCTGTTGCTACCCTCTGGACCTCTTGTGAAGTAGGCACACAATGAAGAGCTTCAGATGATGATCTCAGGTTCATTTGGAGAGAGGTGGTGTCAGCATCGCCCTTGAGTCAGTGCACCAACTGGACTCATTCACCTCAACCCCGACTGGGCCAGGCAAGCTGGGTAGCACCACCAGAGACCTCCTTTCTCACAGGAACAGGTCACAGTGCTGTGGACTCACAGCTTAGAGCTGAGAGCACCGGATTCACTGTCTCAATAATACAGTCGTTGCGCAGCAGAGTTTTGCAGAGTCTTGCAGAGTATAAACCACTCAGAGAGCAGCTCTGTAGAATATCTTCCTTTTATTCTGTAACTACAACTATGATACAAAACTATATACAGAGCTGAATATTCTAAGCATAAATCAATGCTACACTGAGAGTCTGCAGCTGCTCTTAGCAGCAACCTTATCTCTACGATCTCTAACACTCTCTCTCTCTCCGATACACTGACTGACTGACTCTCTCTCACACACACTGAGACATTGATGTGGTGCTGGGCAGAATAAGTAGATAGCAGGACACGCCTCCTCCTCTCTGGAGAGTCAGCAGAGACCATCAGGAGATCATCAGGAGATTCTTGGGTATGGGAGGGGTGAAATCTCCTCAGGTGGTCCTTTGGGTATTGCGGTCCTGGGCCATTGAAGGATTTATAGGTCAAAACCAGCACTTTGAATTGGCCCCAGAAACTTAATTAGAAGCCAGTGCAGTCAGGCCAGAATTGGTGTAATAAGTTCAAAAAAATCTTGCCCCGCGGAGCAACCTGGCCACTGAATTCTGCAGTAGTTGAGGCAGCCCTACGTATAACGTGTTGCAGTAATTGAACCTAGAGGTTACCAGAACATAGACAGCAGTGGTTAGGCTGCCCCTGTCCAGATAAGGATGCAGCTGAGCCACTGGCCAAAGCTGGTGGAGATGTCCTATGCACGCAAATCAAGATGCCTGGTTTCCAAGTACCTCACCCATTATGCACCCACTTTTCTTCATTTCTCTGAACCTGCAAATCAGCTCCCAGTTGCAGTTGACTCAGAAAGCATCACCCGATGCCCCATAGTGATCAGCCAGTCCTACCACTCGAGGATAATGTATTCATCCCGGTTTCTTTCCTTTATCTGTTTCAGCGACGAGCCAGGAGGATCAAGTGCTGCGTCATAGCCGCCGTCCTGGCAGTTCTTCTGGTCATCATCATAATCATCTCCGTTTCGGTCAAGAATTAAACCCTCTGGGTTTTCCCAGGTAGGCTCTTCTCATGGCATCTCAAAGGATGGATGTAAAAGCCAAGAAAACCAGATGGCTCAAAGGAGCTGTTGTAGGCAAGAGCAGCAACTTTATTTTTGGTTAGTGTGGAAGCAACTTGGGTAGGTCAAAAGCACTCTTAGAAGGTAAAATGAAATTTATTGCAGCTGTGCTGTCCGGCTTTATTCGCCAAAGTGGGTAGAATTTTTGGTATTTCTGACATTTCCAGCCAATTCCCATACTGCCTTCAGCAGCCAGTTGGCTGGGGTTGATGGGAGTTGTAATCCAAGAAATCTGGAGGGCACCAAGTTGGTGAAGGCTGCCTCATACTACATCCAGATCCCAGGATATATTACGTGAAATACATTTAAGCACAGTTAGCATTGAAAGGTCATTCAACACCCCCAGTGTATCACAATATCTCTCTAGTTGCTCTTCTCCTTTTGATTGTAGAGCAGCGGTGGGTCACCTGTGGCTCGCCCAAAGTTCTTGGACTACAAATCCCATCAGATCTGGCCATTAGCCATCCTGGCTGGAGATAAAGGGAGTTGGGAGTCCAGTGGCATTTGGAGGGCACCAGGTTAGCTACCCCTGCTGCAGAGGAAGGACCAGTACACCTGGGCATCTGCTCAATTAAATTTGTTGTAAGATCATAGGTGTGTGTCTGGTAGGCAGTATTTAACTTAGTACTGTATAGTAAAAGGCTATAGTCAATCCTACCAAAATGTCCCTCCTGTTTAAAGCAGTTTTAGCCCAAGGGTCAGTGGTTGTGTACCTGCCTTTTGTTGAAGGCGCATCTAGAGGCCACACAATCAAGAGTCTAAAGCAGGGATTCTCAATGTGGTGCCTACCAGGACCTCCTATTCCAAAAGGTTTTGGTCAATATTCCTTCAAAAATTCGCAATGCATGACCGGCTGTTTCCTCTTCTTGTTCTGTTCCTCTTTGCATAGGCACAGCCTTCCCCACATTAAACACATGTTCTGTTAACCATGTCCACCTTCCATTAGGTGTCAGTGTTGGTCACCCATCCATCTCTTCTGAACACAGGAAAGGTGCAAAGAACCTTTATCTGTGGGAGACCACAGCAGAGACTAATGGAGACATCATGTACCCTGTGATGTGTGGTGTGGGTTGGATATGATCACACCATTTTGTGTTCCTGTTTCTTGCTCTGTGGTTTTTTAAAGATATGGCAGCCTTTACACCAGGCCCCCATGGAAGCCATTTTGTGTTATGGCATAAACCCATGACAGCCATTTTGTGACTGGTGCCCACAACAGTTTCTCAAAGTGCCAGATATGCCCAGAGGCCCAAAATGTGTGGTGCCCCCTGTTCTACGTGAACATTCTGACTCTTACAGGGGGCAGGCAGCCTTCCATATATGTAGTTATCAGTCTGACCTTATATGTATGGGTTCTGCCAGGCTCTGACTCTTATTGGAGCAACATCCATGATTCTTGGGAGCTGTCCTTGGTCCTGAACCCTCTGGTACTGATGGCCAGCTATTGCTGCCTTTAAATTGCTCACTGTTGTCGTCTAGTACAGTGTTTCCCAACCTTGGGCCTCCAGCTGTTTTTGGACTACAACTCCCATCATCCCTAGCTAGCAAGACCAGTGGTCAGGGATGATGGGAATTGTAGTTCAAAAACAGCTGGAGGCCCAAGGTTGGGAAACACTGGTCTAGTGTTTGCTTTTGGCTCCTTGTTGCTACTGACTACCCCAAAACGTCTCCTGGCTCAGTGTCCCACAGCTTTGCCCAGCATTTCTGCCAGCCCTCACCCACCCTGGCATGGGGTCCAGACTCCTCCATCCATACCAATGCGCACAGAATCAAAATGGAACTTATTGTCTGCAATGTCAAGGTGAAGTAAGTTCCCACAGAGTTTTCCTCTCCTTAGAAATAATTTCTCTGAAATACAGCTGAGCCAGCTGTCATCCTCCCAAGTTTCTAAAGCAGAAAATGCACCACTGATTCTTCGGCTCAGTGAGCACAGAGGAGCCAGCTGTGTCTCGTACTGAGAGACCCTTGCTGCTCCTTTGCAAAGCCCTTTCTATAAGTATGTCATTTCCTTCCCTGGAGCAGCTTTGAAGAGCAAGAAGAGAGATTTGGAGAAACTCCTAGAGATGTTTGATCCATCTCCCTTATCCTCAGAGTAGAGAACTAACCAAGGATTTGAGAGTTGAATTTTCAGTGTATACTGATGACTACTATACTTCTCTCAATTTGGATGGGCAGCCATAATCGACATAACGCCGGTGTATTTATTTCTTTTGGTCCACCTTGAATCCTACTTTAGGATATTTTCAGTACCAGCTTGAGCACCCTAGAGGTGTCCAGGGTAAATAATTGCAGGGGCAAGTTGGAATATGTGGGGTGAGCCTTGTCCCACTGATGAAACTGTGTGTGCAAGGCAGACACTCTGACCTGTATATGTTTGATATTAGTCTGAAAGGGAAACCCTAGGGTTTCCAAGATGGAAACAAGAGCCATTTTCAGACTGGCACCGGGGAATTTTGCCCAGTGTTCACACCCACACTGGGGGAGTGGGGTTCTCATTTGCACCTTCAAAACCGATGCTTGAAGAGGCCTCGGGGATGCTTGAGAAGGTTGTTCACCTTCTCAACTGGTGTGATATGGATAGAGTCTCAGGGACATGGAGGACTGCATTCATGTCCCTGGCCTGAGGTTTACCATCCCTGGATTAGATGATCCAGTCATCCGACCAACATAAGGCAGATTGGCTCATATAATGCAATATGGTGATTTCTGTACTTGGAAGAAATACTTCCAAAGAATGCATAAAGGTGCTTGTGACTGGTGGGATTTGCAATGCTTTCTACATTGAATTCCCTGCTTGAAAAGGTTCCGTCTTTAGGGCAAGTCTTTGCTCTCCAGACCTGCTTTTAATGCTGCCTCCTGTATGCTTCCTATGGAAAGATGGTGCATTCGCTTATTGCATCGGGGTACATGTTTCTGGCACCTCCCCTCCAGCCTTTCCAGTGAACTACTGGGAAAAGGTTGTTGCAGCCACAGCAGTTCCCATCTATGAGGAAATGTTGAGTGAAGCAATAACTCAGCCTAACGAACGCTGTAAATAAGGGCAAAACACGGCCAGCTCTCTTCCATGGAATTGCTCTTTCTTCCCAAATTGATGCCATGGGGCCAGTTTTGCTTATTGGCTCTCTGTTTTTACCACCGCGTCATACGTCGGCTAGTGGTTGAGAGAGCAGGCCAGATTGCAGGACTATTTCCCCCTCCAGAGCCTCTGGGACATCATCCTATTTACCAGCTGCCAGTCATTGGGCAAAAGCAACCCACTGGCATGGCCACATTGCTCAGCTGCCTATGGAATCCCATCCTCTCTAGTCCTCCATGGACCTATGATCCTTTTCCCCTCCCCCAATACAATTTCCCCAAATCTCAAATTGTGTCCATTTCTTTTTAATCTTCTCTATTTCTCAATCAATCTCTTTCCAAACAGTTGCACAGCCACTGCAAAAATTAGTCTCTGGGATTCTCTAAAGTCCCTGTGTTAAGTTTGAGGTCACTCTCATTGTGAGCCCTTTGAAATGCAAAATTTCCAATGAGAACTGCATTTAGGGGATGCAAAATTGGTCCCATTTGTCTCCCCTTATTTGTTCATTTGCATATACAGTGGTACCTCGGGTTAAGTACTTAATTCGTTCCGGAGGTCCGTTCTTAACCTGAAACTGTTCTTAACCTGAAGCACCACTTTAGCTAATGGGGCCTCCTGCTGCTGCCACGCCACGGCTGTGCGATTTCTGTTCTCATCCTGAAGCAAAGTTCTTAACCCGAGGTACTATTTCTGGGTTAGCAGAGTCTGTAACCTGAAGTGTCTGTAACCCGAGGTACCACTGTAGTCTTTTAAACTCCACTCGCCACTCTTTAAGAACTTTGCCTAAATCATGTTAAGGCAAAGGATTTTGAAAAGTAAGCATAGGGCTGCCATTTTTTATCAACTACTCATGCCTGTTGATCAAGGGAAGTAATAAAAATAAAGGGAACTACTCATGCCTGCATCTAGATCAAGGGAAGTAATAGTGCCACTGTGAGGTCAGACCTCACCTGGAGTACTGTGTCCAGTTCTGGGCACCACAGTTCAAGAAGGACACTGACAAACTGGAACGTGTCGAGGGCAACCAAAATGGTCAAAGGCCTGGAAACGATGCCTTATGAGGAACGGCTAAGGGAGCTGGGCATGTTTAGCCTGGAGAAGAGGAGGTTAAGGGGTGATATGATAGCCATGTTCAAATATATAAAAGGATGTCATATAGAGGAGGAAGAAAGGTTGTTTTCTGCTGCTCCAGAGAAGCAGACACGGAGCAATGGATCCAAACTACAAGAAAGAAGATTCCACCTAAACATTAGGAAGAACTTCCTGACAGTAAGAGCTGTTGGACAGTGGAATTTGCTGCCAAGGAGTGTGGTGGAGTCTCCTTCTTTGGAGGTCTTTAAGCAGAGGCTTGGCAACCATATGTCAGGAGTGCTCTGATGGTGTTTCCTGCTTGGCAGGGGGTTGGACTCGATGGCCCTTGTGGTCTCTTCCAACTCTATGATTCTATGATTCTATGATTCTATGATTCTATGATTCTGTTCTACCCTGAGGACAAACCACAGTACAAAATTCCTTGAGGAGGTGCTTCTTCCATGCTCCCCATTTGAATTCCCATCCAGATTTTGGACTTGCAAATTGCAGAGGAATCCCACCGCCGTCCGTACGGTGCTCCAGCGGCACTGGTGGCAAACCGCTATGTACAGGGAGTGTGTGACGTCACGACATACAGCACATGCATGTGACACCACACATGCGTTGTACATAGTGGTTTGCCGTTGGCATCGCTCAAACGCCGTATGGACAGTAGCAGGATCTTCTTCTCGTGGCTGCAGCCGTGAATGGAGGTCCTCCACCTGTGGCTGTGGTGGCACAATGGCTGCTTGCGCTGCCGCGCCAGGGCTGGGCTGGGGCAGCAAGGCTAAGTACTCTGTGGGGTGCTTTCTTGTCACCCTCCCAAACATGGAACCCGGGGCGCGCCCGCCCCCCCACCTTGCGACACCACTGGTTCACCCCATATCCCAATAGTAATGGTTTTTCAAAGTTCTCATGCTTCCAAATGCATGGTGACATTGCATAGTCTCCACACAGACACATAGTTAGTTGCACAGGGGTACCTCGGGTTACAGACACTTCAGGTTACAGACACTTCAGGTTACAGACGCTTCAGGTTGCAGACTCCTCTAACCCAGAAATAGTACCTCAGGTTAAGAACTTTCCTTCAGGATGAGAAGAGAAATCGCATGGCGGCAGTGGGAGGCCCCATTAGCTAAAGTGGTACCTCAGGTTAAGAACAGTTTCAGCTCAAGAACGGATCTCTAGAAGACATTGAGTTCTTAACCCGAGGTACCACTGTATTTATTGATTTGGGGTTTTCTTTTCCCCTCAGACTTCCCTAAACGCAATACATAAATTCAAAGATTTCTGTGCTTAAAATGCTGCCGTTTTGTGTTTTTCCTCTAATAACTTTGGAGCTTGACCAGGAGGAAACGCTCTGTCCGGTGGTACTGATGTAGAACAAAATGTCTGTGTTTTCATCTGAGGAATGTTGGAGGGTATGACATCATAATTAAAATTCAGTAGGGCTGGAGATTGGGATGCAGCCTTCAGACTGTCTCAGCCATCCTTGTGCCAGGAGGAGTGGGCCACAGAGAGCAACAGTAGAAGGGCAAAAGAGGACTCCAAAGCCCCACATCCTCCCAACTATAGAATTAAGCTCATTGTAGTGACAGGGTATCACCATCACCCTGATAATTTACCTGTCACCATCGCCACAGATGAAATATCCTCCTGAGATGCTCAGTTCACAGAGCGACACAGCGATGGATGTTGCAGCCATGTTCCCCTGAGAAATATCTGGCATCTGGAGACTCAGCGTGCAGAACAGACATGACCTCAGGGGGAGAAATAGCAGCATTTACCATTTTCTATTCTTCCTCTCTCTCTCTCTTTTGCCTCGTTACAATATTAAAGATATTTCTCCGAATAACAAATAAGCACAATATCCACAACCTGCCCTTTGACTCCAGATGCGTTTCCGTTTGCAAGAGCGAAACGCTCCGAGGGAATTGCTGTGTTAGCTTTTACCTCTCCATTCCTAAATCCTGCTGGAGGGGTGGATTTTATTTTTTTCTAATACATACTCATAAAAGAGATAGCAAAAAAAAGCCAGTAAGTAATTACTTTCCCTCCTCTGTATATCTGCTGCACTTTTCATGTTTTATTGACATTTCAACGCATTTAATTGGCCTCTGTTTAATCCACTCACCTCTACTTTTCTGGATGACACAAGGAATATGTATTTTAAAATGTTGATTTAATTATCGGTTGTGAGTGATCAAGTTCCTCACAGTTTATTTCTCTCTCCCCACCTGTGCAAGGTTTTCAATACAGTGGTACCTCTGGTTGCGAACAGGATCTGTTGCGGAGGCCCATTCGCAACATGAAAAGCCCGCAACCTGAAGCACCGTATCTGCGCAGGTGTGTGGTGCGATTTGGCGCTTGTGTGCATGTGCAAAGTGCAATTTAGCGCATCTGCGCATGCGCGAGCAGCAAAACCCGGAAGTAACCCTTTGTGGTACTTCTGGGTCGCCACGGGACACAACCTGAAAAAATGTAACATGAAGCAAATGTAACATGAGGTATGACTGTATCTAGGGCCCTCCATAACAACGGCCCATTCCATTCATGGAAAGCTGCCATATAGTAAGTCAGACCATGGTCCATTTTGCTTTGTGTAGACTACTATTTCTGCACCATGGGTTTGGAAATCCTGTGATCACAGAATCATAGAATCAGAGAACTGGAAGAGACTCATAAAGGTAATCCAATGCAAGAGTCACAGCTAAAGAATCCCCATCAGGTAGCCACCCAACCACTCTTTAAAAACTTCCAATGAAGGTCCATCACCTTCCATGGGAGTCCATCCCACTGTCTAACATCTCTTACTGTGAGAAAGTTATTCCCAATGTTTAGTCAGAATCTCATTTCTTGCAATTTGAATCTCATGCTTTGGGTTCTACCCTCTGGAGCAGCAGGAAGCAATCTTCCTCCATCTTCCACATGACAGTCCTTCAGATATTTGAAGATGGCTTCAAAGGGACGCGGGTGGCGCTGTGGGTTAAACCACAGAGCCTAGGGCTTGCCGATCAGGAGGTCAGCAGTTCGAATCCCCGCGATGGGGTGAGCTCCCGTTGCTCGGTCCCTGCTCCTGCCAACGTAGCAGTTTGAAAGCATGTCAAAGTGCAAGTAGATAAATAGGTACCGCTGCAGCGGGAAGGTAAATGGCGTTTCCGTGAGCTGCTCTGGTTTGCCAAAAGCAGCTTAGTCATGCTGGCCACATGACCTGGAAGTTGTACACCGGCTCCCTCAGCCAATAAAGCAAGATGAGTGCCGCAACCCCAAAGTCAGCCCCGACTGGACCTAATGGTCAGGGGTCCCTTTACCTTTACCTTTATCATGTCAGCTTTCGGTCTTCTTCTTCTGCAGGCTGAATGTCTGGTCCCCCAGATACTCCCAACTCCTATCATCTCTAACCACTGGTCATGCTGACTAGTGTTGATGGATGCTGAAGCCCAGCATCAACTAGGGGCCTCCATGTGTTCCCCATGAGAGGTCCCTTTTGCCAAGATTTCAGGAATTGTACATGGGATGTGTAAAGCATATCCTCTAATGGCCTCTCACCAAATTATATGTGTGCATAAATTTGTAGGCTGCTGTAGGCTGCTGTGCCTTTGAGATGATGAAGGAGAAACTCTTCCTTTCATGACTGCTTTCATAAGGTTGAATGACTAAGAACTGACAGACCAAGCCTAGGGCTTGTGTGCGTGTCTCTCTCTGTGTGTGTTTCTGGGATTGTCTTGAATGTCTGCCAGTTGGTTTGACAAGAACCCTTCAAATACGCAGATGCATCACTCCGTATAAAATGCACTGTTTCTAAATGATTGCCACAGAGCAATTATCTTTTGCGATAGTGTGCAAGTCTCCTTTGTGAGCGTGTTGCATGCGCTTACCCCCTTTGCATGATACATACTTTTAATGCAATGGGGCTTTTCAATGTTTTTGCACTGCAGGAAATGAAGAGCAGTTTGGCATAAGTGAGCCGTGATCAGTTTAGCAATGACGGGGTGTGTTTTCATTGACTTTTTAAGAACCTGAGGGATCCCTCGCTCACGTTAAATTTATTGCAACGACAGCCTGCAAAGACATTCCCTTTACCCCTGATCCAAATGAAATCTCCACGTGAGCAGAGATGTTGCAGAAATTTGGCAGGTTTGCTCCCAGACAAAGATAATTGTGTTTCCGCTGGTGCAGACAACGATCCTGTACCTACTTTCTGCCTAACTCTGTCCAATTTATTTGCTCCTGGGAAAGGCATTATTGGCAGCTGGGAGTATAAACACCTGTTAAAATTAGCCAGGGGTTGAATATATGCACAGAAGAACATTCAGTTGTTGATTTCCCCCCACCCACCCACATTGTGCAGTGGTACAGCTCAGACACCTGCTGTATGCGAGAACTTAAGTATGCAAGAAGCACTTGCACCAGAGGCCTGTCTAGTCCAGCAGCCTGTTTCCACAGTAGTCAACCACATGCCCCAATGGGAAGCCTGCAAGCATAGAATTGGGACCCTGAGGACCATCTAGTCCAGGCTTCCTCAACCTCGGGCCTCCAGATGTTTTTGGCCTACAACTCCCATGATTCCTAGCTAGCAGGACCAGTGGTCAGGGATGCTGGGAATTGTAGTCTCAAAACATCTGGAGGGCCGAGTTTGAGGAAGCCTCATCTAGTCCAGGCATCCCCAAAATCAGCCCTTCAGATGTTTTGGGACTACAATTCCCATCATCCCTGACCACTGGTCCTGTTAGCTAGGGATGATGGGATTTGTAGTCTCAAAACATCTGGAGGGCCGAGGTTGAGGAAGCCTCATCTAGTCCAACTCTCTGCAAGTGCAGGAATATACAGCTGTCCCATAGGAGAATCAAATCTGCAACCTTGGCTTTATCAGACCACGTTCTAACCAACTGGCACGCAAATGGATGGTCTTTCTGCTCCTGGAGGTACTACACAGCCATCTTGACAAGTAGCCGTGGCTAGTCTTATCCTTCATGAATTTGTGAAACTCCAAACCTAGCCGAAAGAGCTTAGTTTTATTACGTGTTCCCACAATCTCCCAAAGGAGAGTCCACGAACTACTTTTTTAAAAAAGAACCTTAATGTTTCATTCCTCATTGTAGTTCCAAGCCTCGCTAAATAACTTAACAGCCTGCGTATTTTTGCTTTTGCCACTCCTTGACATCCAGCTAGCCCAATGAGTGGATCCTGATCCGACACTCTCTAAAGCCTTTATCCTGTCAAAGTCCCGCTGCGAAGGCCAGCCGCCACTTTGGGTATTAGCATATGCCCGTCAGTCGTGTCTCTAAATCGGTGGGAGTTTTCTTATCAGCAAATAGCCCCTCCAGCTTTGGGCACAGGGGAAGGGCACCAAGTTAATGAAGTCAGCTTTAAGACAGCGTTGATATTCTGTTAGCTTACTGAGGGTTGTATTCGTACTAGCATTTTGATTCTAACTTCTCCTTTTTTTCTTCTTTTTTTCTTTTCGCATTTTACTCTTTAAGCCCACAGGCATGCCAGCTTGGAACGTACAAAATATATCACTCTGTATCCACAGATAATGTCCATTCTGCAGCAGGATCACCGCAAATCTATGCAGTCATTCAAGCAATGTTTCGCAGCTCGGTGTAGATGCAAAGTAATGCGGCTTGTACTTGAGAAGGGACTGGAGTCTTGAACGTCACCAGTTTGGCGGGGGGCACTAAGGGGATTAATGTATATGCATCTGTGCATTTTAAAATATATATTATCTGTTTCTGAATTGCTATGTGCTCTCTCTGATTTCATCCATGCTTCCCTTTCCGTTCCACTCTGTATAAAGTGAAGCTCTGTATTACCCACTCACTATAATGGGAAAAATAAAAAATGCCTATGACTTTTCCCCTTTTGGCCAAAGCGTGTGAAATGTGCAGGCACAGAACACCCCACCCCCAAATAGATCTAGCTCGCCAAATTGCAGACAAATTGGCTTTTTATGGGTGAACTAGAAGGGCTGTACTTTCCTCCATAATCCCTTATGAGGTGGGAGGTTTGGTGGGGTTTTTTCTTTCTTTCTTTCTTTCTTTCTTTCTTTCTTTCTTTCTTTCTTTCTTTCTTGCTTTCTTTCTTTCTCTTTCTTACCTTAAAATAATTACAATATGGTTGAGTTTTGTATATTCTTGCTTGAACTTAAAAAAACTTTTATTTTGTGCCTGCATTTCCTTTCCAGTTATTGTTTGGGTCCTCATGTTGGATATTACAACATGACACTATCTAGAACAGGCATCCCCAAACTAAGCCTTCCAGATGTTTTGGGACTACAACTCTCATCATCCCAAGATAACAGGACCAGTGGTCAGGGATGATGGGAATTGTAGTCCCAAAACATCTGGAGGGCCAAGTTTGGGGGTGCCTGGTATAAAATGTTGCCTGCTGCGTTCTGAAGAACTCTGGGGTTCAGGTTTATTTTTAAATCAGATCAACATATGATTTTTTAAAAATATAAATCTCAAATGAAGCTGTTTTCTCTCTCTCAGTCAGAGAGGGTATTTTGCATGTTCTTACTACACAGGGCCTTGAGACAAAAGACACAAAGGCACCTCCCTTCAAAATGGAGATTTGCAACTCAATACCTTCATCACATGATCTATGGTTACAACACCCACATGTTAGCTACCAGATAACAGCCATTAGTTAGTTAATTATCAACTCAACAAGAGCTCAGAATACTCTCCTTGGCTTTAATATAGCCCCGTGGAAAATCCCCATGTTAAACCTACAGCAATATACCTTGAGGCGTTTTTTGATTTCTCTGTCAATTAAACCAATTCTACTTAACAATGTAGCTACTGTAAGAATTCTGCAAATGAATGCAAATCGATCATAGAATCATACAGCTGTAGAGTTGGAAGGGACCCCGATAGTCATTTCGTCCAACCCCCTGCAATGCAGAATATTCCATTCTGCCACACCAGGCTTAACACAAGGTTTATTTTTAGGCTTAACTTTCCATCCTTCTCTCTCCCAGGCTGTAGTTCTCAGCAATTTTTATAGCCAGCTGTAGAGGAGAGAGAAATTTTAAACTCACTTTCAGCGAAGGCTATTATTGAAGAGGTATTAAGTAAGTTCAGCTGTGTCCATTTCAGTGTACTCTATCCCCCCCCCACCCATATGCCTGCCTGTAGCCTCTCCATCAAACCTGATTTCGGTATTTGGTGCTAAATGTTGTTTTATGCCTCATACTCATTTCATAAAAGGAGATAACTCGGCATTGCTCAATTGGGGCTGTGTTAATGCACTTTTTAATAACAGAGTGTCATGCATTGCTGCTTTTCAGCATTTACAGCTGTGATTAACATTGGTGGAATAATGTTTGGGTACAGGAGGGTTTTGCCAGGCAGCGGAAAGCAGATGAGCATCATGAACCCACTAAGCGCAGTGCCCAGTCGCGTGCCAAGAGTAGACCTGAATAGAGATAACAGCTTGAAATAGGGTCATATACTCTATTTCGTGGGTCGGCAAACTAAGGCCCAGGGGCCGGATCCGGCCCAATTGCCTTCTGGATTTGGCCTACAGATGGTCCAGGAATCACCGTGTGGATTAGGGTTACCACACATCCCCAGTTCCCGGGAACAGTCCCCGGATTTGCAAATCTGTCCCTGGACAAATTCCGTCCCCGTAATGTCCCCAGAATTGCACATCTGTCCCCAGGAAACGTGGCAGCGGCAGCCTCAGCAGCCCGGAGCCAGCCTGGTAGCACACTTGGCTCTGGCTGGCTTCAGGAGCTGCTTGCTGCTGCCACCGCCACTGCTGAGGGGGAACTGGGGACGTCCGGCGGTACAGATTTCCTGCCCCCTTCTCCCTTTGTTTTGACAGAACGGGGGAGGCTCGGGAGTTGCGGGCACGGGGCCGTTGCCTAGGAGGGGTGCAAGGCGCATGGTTTCTCTGCCAGGCAAGGTGCAAAGCCCTTCTTTCGCACCCTGTGAAACATAAATGTGCAGTTTTTTTAAAAAAAACACTGGACAACAGCCAGTTGACCATGACTCCCAAGCCTCCCCTGATTGGTCTAAACAAAGGGGCAAGGGGGCAGGAGATTGGGAGCGGCTCGGGAGTCACGGGCAGACAGCACGCCGTTGCCCAGTTTTTTTAAAAAACTGCGCATTTATGTTTCACAGGGTGCAAAAGAAGGGCTTAGCACCTTTATACAATATGCATGCATGCTTGGGCCCAGGGTCTTTTGCCTCACCATCCCCACTACTGACTCCCTGTTGCTACTCAGCTTCCAAATAATAAAAAAGTGTCCCCGGATTCATTGAAAAAAATCTGGTAACCATAGTGTGGATCAGCATGGGGATTCTGATCGGTCGGGCTGCTCCATTTCCACCCCTCCCTCTCACACACCGCGGAAGCACCTCCTCCCTCCCTCCTGGAACGTGTCCAGAGGAGGGCAACCAAAATGGTCAAAGGTCTGGAAACAATGCCTTATGAGGAACGGCTAAGGGAGCTGGGCATGTTTAGCCTGGAGAAGAGGAGGTTAAGGGGTGATATGATAGCCATGTTCAAATATATAAAAGGATGTCATATAGAGGAGGGAGAAAGGTTGTTTTCTGCTGCTCCAGAGAAGCAGACACGGAGCAATGGATCCAAACTACAAGAAAGAAGATTCCACCTAAACATTAGGAAGAACTTCCTGACAGTAAGAGCTGTTGGACAGTGGAATTTGCTGCCAAGGAGTGTGGTGGAGTCTCCTTCTTTGGAGGTCTTTAAGCAGAGGCTTGACAACCATATGTCAGGAGTGCTCTGATGGTGTTTCCTGCTTGGCAGGGGGTTGGACTCGATGGCCCTTGTGGTCTCTTCCAACTCTATGATTCTATGATCCTCCTGGCTTCTCCCCGCCCTGCGTAGAGGAGGAAGGGGGCTGGACTTTGTTGAGCCGCAGTTTTAAGCAGCCCCTCTCTGGAGCCAGCCCTTTCGCACCGCTCATCGTCCCGACGCCACCACCAGCCCCTGCCACTCACAAGGCACAGGTAAGCAGCCACTGGGGCTCGTCCGGTGCAGTGGAGAAGGGAGGGGAGAGTCGGGTTTTTTCTTCCAAAATATAGTCTGGCCCCCCCCAAGGTCTGAGGGACAGTGGACCGGCTCCCTGCGGAAAAAGTTTGCTGACCCCTGCTCAATTTGGTCATATACCACCTTTGTTGGAAAAACGCCCTGGGAAGGCTGCCAACTTCCCAAGTCTTCGGAGCGTCTCTCCGGTGGACCTCTCTGGCTGTAAATCTTCTTCAGTCCAGAGAGACCGGTAATAAGCGACCCTTCTCTCCTGTAAAGAGCGCACCAGTCTTCTGGCATATCATAGCAGAAGAAAGACTCAATCATAGTTCTAAAACTACTTTATTTACAGTCTTATATACAGAGACTCCGTCAGTACGTCTGTGCTCTCTGAACACCAGTCCAGAACTGCGACACACACAGAAGTGAAACCAAATTCCAATAGTACTCAGACTTCCTTTCTCACACTCAGACTCTCAGATGATGTATACAAATCATAGGACCATAGTACCACTTGCTGGAGGGACGCGGGTTGGCGCTGTGGGTTAAACCACAGAGCCTAGGGCTTGCCGATCAGAAGCTTGGCGGTTCCGAATCCCTGCGATGGGGTGAGCTCCCTTTGCTCGGTTCCTGCTTCTGCCAACCTAGCAGTTCGAAAGCACATCAAAATGCAAGTAGATAAATAGGTAAACACCGTTTCTGTGCGCTGCTCTGGTTCGCCGGCTCCCTTGGCCAATAAAGTGAGATGAGCGCCGCAACCCCAGAGTCGGTCACGACTGGACCTAATGGTCAGGGGGTCCCTTTACTTTACCTTTACCACTCGCAGGAGCAGCTCGGATAGATAAAAATCCATATAAGTGCAAGGAAGAGGGTAGGGCCCAAACCAATGGATTTGAATTACAAGAAAGGGGATGTGAGGGGCGATCTGGCTGTGACATCTGTCACCCTGTTGATCACCAGGGTTGATTCGGCTACTCTGGCTGGCTAGGCGGGTGTCCCCTTCCTCCCTCACCGCTCCATGTGCATCCCTCCTGAAGCTGCACGCTCGGTGGAAGAGGACGACCATCCCAGATAGTCGGTCAAGATTATACAATAGCTGCGCTCCCCTGCTAGAACCGCCAAACAAGCTTAAATTACAAGATTTCGATTAAACCTTCCAACTCTACAGTTCTATGATTCTATGACTAGTTGGGCCATTGGCCTGATCCTGAAAGCTTTTCTTGAGTTCTTACAATATTAATGAAAGCAAAGGAGCAGGTTTTAAACACCTGCAGGTCTGTGAGCTTTTGCTTGGCATAGAACTTCGCCACATCCTTTTCTTTGTGACATTTACCACAATCAGTTGTACAATCAGTTCCACCTGGAACCAAACAGTTCTTCTGCTGGGAGGAAAGCAAAGCACTGCTCAGGACAAGAAGAGTGGAAACTCTGTTATTTTGCAGTGTCCCCCATTTAACCGTAGCCTAGTGATACATTTCTCAAGGCGCTTGCGAATTGTGCCAAATGAGACCCATTTTCCACTAATGGGAGCTGAGCATTGCACGTTTTTGACAACTTGGAAGAGAGAAAAAACATCACTATCTCATTTTCCCTACCTACCTTTACTGTATACTTTCCATTTTGGTAAGCAATGTTTTACTACAATTACACCTTGGGATCCTATTTTTCTATTCCCTTCTAAAATGAATCTTGCATGGGCTCTTTATTTATTTCTTAAAAAAAGAAAAAGAAATCATAAACCAAACCAAACAACGAAATGAGCAAGGATTCTTCTTCTCAAAGGGATAATATTATTTCATCTCTCATATATTAGGGCAGCATAAAAGTGTTCACACTCACCTTTGCTAGACATTATCCAGAAATGAAGGTGTGGCCCATAGTTGAATTGAAGGGAGTGAACATTTTCCAATTTGAGATGGGGAGGATGTGAATGAAACATAGCTGATGGCTGGATGAGATGGTCTGAAGGCTAGCTATTTTATTTGTGTGCATGCACACACACACACACACACACACACATCTCACCATGTCACACCCATACCCACACAATTGATTTACAGCAATAAAACATAAAACATAAAAACCATACGATTTTTTAAAAAGTGGTATCTATTTCTTTAACACTTTAAATAAGCTGAATATAGTAAATACAGTGGTACCTCAT